GGGGGGCTCAGGGGCAGGGGGATGCTCTAAAGAAGTCAGAGGAGGGCAACAGGGAGGGGTGTGGGGCAGGAGAGGGTGCTGGAGGGTCAGTGGAAGGGGACTTAGGGGGTCTGGGGCAAGGGTACGCTCTAGGGGGGATCAGTGGAGGGGGACTGGGAGGATGTGGGGCAGGAGAGGGTGCTGGGGGTGCATTCTGCCCCCATTCACGGCATCCCTGCACACCACCCACCCCATTTCCAGCAGTATCAGAGCACTATAACAGCAGGGTGATGGCAGCTCAGTGCTGGGGTGGCACCGATGCAGCCCTGCCCTTCCCACCAGGACGCTGTGGGTCACTCCATGGTGTTTGGGCAGCAGGGAAGCCCAGCGGGCCAGCGTCCTGCCCGTCACACGTGCACACTTGCCCAGTGCCCGTGGGGGACCTCGTGGCGTTTCCAGGGCGGTGGCTTTGGTGGAGCAGTGGCTGGTCCCACCTCGGAAAGCCCTGAGTGACCCATCTGTCCAGTCTGAGTTGCTGGGCTCCTAAACGAGGACTTTGCCCACTCATTTTTCTGCCAGGCAGAGCGTGGGGAGCACAAGCGGCAGCCGTTTCGTAGCCCGGGCTGGGGAGGAGCTGGGGGGGGCCCACCACCACCCGGTGGTACAAAGTCCACAGCAGCAAACAGGTCAAGATAAAGCTGCGGAGACCAACCTCCCACCAAAGCCAAACAGCGGATTAACGTCCCCGGCGCAGATCTGAGACCTTCAAGGGTCCCTGGGGGATTGCAGAGCTGGTTCGACAGCCCAGAGGGGACCCCTGAGGAGATCCTCGCCGGCCCCTTCTCCTTTTCCTCCTGATTCTTTCCCTTCCCAGGTGATTTTGCAGAGATATGAACCACCAGTGAGCACTGCAATGACCCGTGCACCAACATCCCCCTGCACGGCCTCTCCCAGCAGTGTCACTGGCCACCTCCTCTGACAAATTACCACCAATTTACAGATTTAAACTGCAGCCCCGACCCTGGTCACAGCGACCCACATGATGCATGAGCCACCCACACCCCGTGGAGCTCCCAAGAGAGCCCCAAAACAAGACGAGCCCCTGGGCAGTGAGGTGCTCGGACTACATGGGTGGCAGAGGTCCGGTCCAGTCCCTGTAGACGTGGGGTTTTGGGGGGATGCTGCGTCTTTGCCCATCCCCAAAGACACATCAGCAGGCAGGAAAATCGTGTGGCATGTGAGGAACACACAGAAATACAACAAAGAGGCTCTGCCTCACGTCGGAGACTCTGATAAATTTTACCCTGACTCTTGCTGGAGCCCAATCGCTGCAGCCGAAGCTGGTTTGAAGGGCTTTGGGGAGACTCGTCAGGTGTCGAGGGCTTGGGAAAACTAGGACATCCTGACTTGCCTCTGGCTAACTCCTTTGTGAGAGCCCAGCCAAAGTTTCTCCACCTCTAAATTGGGGTGTAATGACACTTCCCCTCTTTCATGAAGCTCCGACTCTTTCTGATCTGGGTAGGAAAATAAATCACCGCGCGGGCTCATAAAAGCCATCAAAACGGCAACCTGGGGTGAACTGAGCCGCGGAGGGAGGGAAGGGCGGGACGCCCGGAAAATGAGAGGCAGCCAGAAAAACAGATGTCATCCAGAGCTCCTTCCCCTGTAGGGTTAATGTACACCCCCCCCCGCCAGCCTTTGCTCTTCCCCTCCCTGCCCGCCGCTGGGACTCCCTGCCATTGGCTGTCTCTGTAGGTTTAGGCTAAAAAGCCTGTAATTAGGACCCCGGCTGACACAGATCCAGTTTCCTGGGCAGGCAGATTAAAAAAAAAAAAAAAAAGAAAAAAAATAGAAAGAGAGAGAGAGAGAGGAAAAAAAAAAATAGTTTCCCCTGACTGAGCTTGGATGTTTTCCTTTCGCTTTGCAAAGTTTTCCCTGCTGAGCCTCCATTCCCTCGCCTCCTCCGGAGCGGGGCGGGACGGCGGCGGCCGCAGCGGGGCTGGAGCGGGCGGCGGAGCCCGGAGCGGCGGAGCCCCGGTACCGGAGCGCGGGGAACGGGCAGGTAGGTGAGGCTGGAAAGGTTTTCCTGGGGTCGCTTCTCCGAACTACGTGCTGAGCTGGGGGGGGGAAAGCGCTTGGGAGTCATTGCGGTGGGGGGAAGCACCGGGGAGCCCCGTCCGGGAATTGTTGGAAGGGGAAAGGGAGGCGAATCTGGGGAGAGGGAGGGTTTTTTTGGCTGTTCTTCTCTGGGAGAAATAAATGGGAGGGAAAGGGGGGACAGAATGGTATCGCTGCCCCTGTGGTCTTTGTTTTCGGGAAGAATCTCCCCTGAGAGCAGGAGAGAGTGTCTGGTCCATCGTGATGGACTCTGCCATCCCGGGCTGGGTGGCCGCCTCCCGAGGGGGCAGGTGCCCTGGGCATGGGGCCAGCAGGGCTGCCCACCTCCCTCCCCCAGCGAGGGTCTCTGGGAAGGGGTGCTGGCTCCTCCATCCCTCCTCCACCCGGGATTTGGTGGGAATGGGTTGATTTGGGCTTGGTGATGGAGCTTTCCACGGGAAGCAGGTGGGCCCCATCACACCCCCGATGTGTTGGGATGAAATCCGGTGGCCGCAGGGGACGGAGGGGTGGTGGGTCTTGGATTGTACCCACGGATGTACGAATGGCTGAGTTAGGGCAGGTTAATGGGTTACTGCTCCCCATTGAGCCAGGGCAGCCGGCCATGTGTGTGCTCTCAGGATGGGGAAAAACACTAAGAAAAGCCCTTTGCAGCACACACATCCCCCTGGGGGCAAACAGGCCACAGCCCCCTCCGGTGACATGGAGCCCTACGGCAGAGCAGGATGCAGAGACCCCCCCGGTCATCTCAGGGGGCTGTACTGACCCCATCCCTCCACACTGCTGGCCCTCAGGACGGCTGTACCCAGTGTTGCTCCACCTCGTGCCACCGCAGGTCCCAAAGCCACCGCGGGCTCCCTGGTGAGACAGGCTCCAGCCTGGCTTGGGCTGCCCTGCAGGACGAGCTGCTCCGGCTCGCCCTGCCAGACCTCAGCTTATCTCACCCCAGAAGAGATGCATCTTTATGGCTCTGCATCTTCACTGCCACGTACCTTCGCTGCAGCTGTGTTGACGGGAGCTCAAGCGAAAACAGGTTATCCTGGGGGTGAGGTGGTGAATAACAGAGCTAAGCCCCTGGGAGCTGCCAATGCTTTTGGGTGCTTGGAAGGGGATCTGGTCTGTTGGAGGACGGTGAGCTGTTGTGGTTCCTGGGGGTTGTGGAGCTGGGGAGTGTTTGGGGCTTCTGAAAAACAGGCAAGAGGGGTCTGAAAGTGGGTCTTCTGTGATGGAGAAACGACTTTTAGAAAAAGCAGAGGCTGTGGCAGAGCTGCAGATCAGCCCCTGGCCGTGCTGGGAAGGGGGAGGCTGCGCTGAATGCGAATGGGCCGGGGTGGCCGCGCTGCAAGTTAATGTGTGACCTTGGCAGGAGAAGGCTGGGAGCCCACACACGCTCCTGCAGCCAGCTGGAGACGGGGGCTACCCCGGGGGGAGCCAAATAAGATGAATATTCCTGTGAATTTTAACTTCTTGTACCCAGGGAGCTGCAACTGCTTCGCAAAGGGTTGTAGCTACTGTGAGAAACTCACAGTAGGGCAGGAGCAGGAGCTCAGGGCAGGAAGGGGGATCCTTTGGGCTTCCATGCGAGGTGGTGCCAGCACTGGGACGGGAGTCTGGGTGGCCATTTGAAGCCACACAAGCACCAGAAAGCTGTGAGTGGGCAGGGGAGCACCGCAGGGACATTGCCCATCTTTCAGGGAGCTCAGGGGAGATGAGGAATGCTCTGGAGGAGCTCCCATTGGCAGGACGAGAGGCTTTTAAAGCAGAGGCAAATGACAGCCCTCAGCCTGCCCAACTGGTCCCTCAAATATTCCTTCTCTGAGGACGCACCTCCAGCGCTCAGGTCTGCGCTGGCAGGGAGGAATGGCTCCCCAAAGCCCCCTCCTGCCACCTCCCCCTGACACCTGGTCCAGGCTCTCCTGTCCCCATTTTTGAGGGCAGGAGCAGGCTCGGAGCATCCTTCTGCAGGCCAGCAGGGAAGGGCAATAGCAGGAGTGCCTGGAGGTGACGAGGGAGGGCAGGAAGGAAGAGGGGACAGGGATGGGGAGCAGAGGAGACGGACCTGTTGGGGCTGCCTGGCTCCTTAGCATGGGAGGTGCATAACGCTGTCACCGTCTGGGGCTAATTACAGGGACTTGTCTACAGCCCAGACGGCTGCCAGCCGGAGTAATCACATCAAACCGGGCTGGGCTGGGCTTTGCAGCACAATCCCTACGGATCCAGGGCAGCCAGGAGCCCTGCCCTCTCCGCTCTCCCCCAGCATCACCCCACTGGGCTCCCCCCTGATGGCCCTGGGACAAGGTGCCCTCTGTACCCCACCACGGAGCTGGGGCCACACAGGCACCTCCCCAGCTCTGCAGGGCATCGGAGGGGTCTAATTACAGCAAAGCCCCGACAGATTAGACGAACGCAGCTTGGAGGCTTAATAAGCCCAGCAGAGCCCAGGACTGTCACCCACCTCCCGCAGAGAGGGAAGAGCAGAGACACTTGTTACCCAGACACGGCAGCAGCAGAGCTGGGACCCGTCACTGAGCCCACGGAGGTCCCCGTTCAGCATCCCCAGGGACACACACCGTCCTCCTGCGCAGAGGTAGAGCCAAGGCTGGTTACTGGCCCAGCACCAGCGGTGGCAGAGCGGTCCTTCACTGCATCAACAAGTCCAGGACCCTCTTTGGGCTGTAGATACACAGAAACAGGGCAGATGATTTCATCCCTATGCAGGTCCCAGAGCTGAGCACAGCTTTAAAAGCACTACACAGCCAGCCCTGCAGCCTCCCCAGACTAACCCCAGGGCTGGCAGACCCCAAGCCCCAGGAAGGAGCAAGCAGCCCTTTTGTTTTATCCCGCTGATTAGCCAATCTGCAGTGTTAATCATTGACCCAGGTGCGTGGAAGGGAAACCTGAGCTGCCCCGGGCTGATCCCACCACTCCAGGGCTGGCCACGTGTGGGTGCAACATCCCGGCACCCCAGGATGCTGTGGCGGAGGGAGCAGAGGCTGGGGCTGAACCAGGGGTGTTGAAGCTCTTTTGTGGGAGCCGGGGGGATGCGGCTGCTGGTGCTGACCAGGATGGCTCTGACGGGATGGGCCTGGGGCTGGGGGGGAAACCAGACATGAAAAAATGTCATCCCAGTGCGAAGGAGTGAACTGGTCCTGGTGGTGGCAGGGAGCAGAGGCTGGGGCTGAACCAGGGGTGTTGAAGCTCTTTTGTGGGAGCCGGGGGGATGCGGCTGCTGGTGCTGACCAGGATGGCTCTGATGGGATGGACCTGGGGGGGGAACCAGACATGAAAAAATATCATCCCAGTGCGAAGGAGCGAACTGGTGCTGGTGGTGGCAGTGATGCAGGAGGACCTGCATGTGTGGCCTGGGGGTTACCACCCCTCAACCCTCAGCCTGAGCCCATGCCAAGCCTCTTGCTGTATAAAACACCTTCCAAAGTGGGTGATCAATCCACAGTGGGGACCGGGGTGCATCCAGGGGTGTCCTGGGGCCGTTTGGTTGCAACACTGGGATTTGCCCCCGGAGCAACGGCTCAGCTCCATCCCACCCACATCCCACCCTCGCTCCCCACGCTGGGCAGGAAGCGTGGGGCAGAGGGTGTCGGGCTCTGGGCCGGTGTCCAGGGAGCCCCAGCAGCCACCACATCACCATCTCGCCTTTGTTTTGGAAAACCAAGCCAGGAAGGAAGCGAGCGGTGAAAAGCGCCGCGTGGGGAGGAGGGGACGGGACCGGCCGGGTTTCCACCGCGTAACCATTAGCCAGGAGAGGTGGTGGCGGCTGGGAGAGCCGGCTGCCCGGGCAGGAACAGCCACTCAGGGCAGAACAATAGCAGCCCGAGGGGAATAAATTATTTTCCACTGAATTGGGCTAGACCTCGGTCTCCTCCCACTGCCCTGCTCGGGGACAGGCCACTAGACCAGGGATTAGGAAAGGACTGGCGGCTTCCAGGGAAAATCTCCTGCTGTGGGTGAGCAAAAGGCTGGTGGTGTTTCACAAAACCCCTTCCAGCTTGAGCACGGACATTTGGGGTCTTCCCTGCCTGGCTTCATGCCATCACCATCCTGTCAGTGCCTCCCGCTCGGCAGATAAAGCTCCAGCCCTGCCAACCCCTTGGTGTGGGTTTGCAGAGAAAGGAGCAGCCCCCAAAAGCCCTCAGACTTCAGTGGTTCAGCCGAGGGTCTCGTGGTGGTGCTGAGCATCATCCCAGTGGGATGTGCCCTGGGGTCCTTCCCCCCTTCCTGGGGGCTGTTTGTCCTGCTGCCACGTGGAGACGGGTCCGCGCTGGGGAGGTGGGTTGACACGTGTCCTGGACGGACCCCCTGCTCCCCACCTCGCCGAGGGTCTCACCAGCTCTGCTTCTCTCTTCCCAGCTCATGTCCCTGCCGAGCCCCGCATGGCCCCAGCGAGACGAGCCTCCCCCCTGCGGCACCGCCATCGGCCTCCCGCCGGCCTCCTCCGACAGCGACTCCGGCTGTGCCCTGGAAGAGTACCCGGAGCCCCCCGCGGACCCCGCTCCCCCCGAGGTGGGCAGCCCCCCGCCTCTCCCAGGGCTCCCTTTGCTCCCCCAGCCCAGGGGTGGTACCCACCGCCCTGGGATGAAACAAATACTTTCGCAGCCTCGAGCGATGCAGTTTAACCCCCCTAAAAATCTGTTTCTCTCTCCTGTGTGACACCCCAAGGTCCCCGTGTGCTTCGGCACCCGCTCGCCCCAGGACCCCTCCTCTCCCACCGACAGGATCCGTCTCCGCGCCAGAGCCCTCCTGCAGCAGCTGCCCCCTCAGGACTGCGATGTAAGACACCTCTTCGTTGGGTGCTGCCCACCCTGGGCTTCTCCCACCGTGCACCCCCCCTCTGACCCCCCCATCTCCCCGTGCAGGAGCGGTATTGCCCCGACCTGGCGGAGGAGGAGAGGAGGCAGCTACGAGCATTCAGCGCCCGGCGGAGACGGGAGGCCCTGGGGCAAGGGCTGGCACGTCCCGTGCCGGGTCCCTGCCATGGCTGTCCCTGCAAGAAGGTGAGGAATTCCCCCCCCCTCCTGGTACCAGGCAGCCCCTGTTCCCCAGCGGGGACCTGTCCCCAAAAGCCAGCCTGACCCCAAACCCCACGTCCCTCTCCCTTGCAGTGCGGCGGGAGGCTGAACAAAGGGGACCTGGGGATTTCGGCAGCCCGGCTGGGGGACCAGTTCTGGCACCCGTCCTGCTTCTCCTGCCACTTCTGCCACCAGCCCCTGGTGGATCTCATCTACTTCCAGCAGGATGGGAGGATCTACTGTGGCCGGCATCACGCCGAGCTCTTCCGACCCCGCTGTGCCTCCTGCGACCAGGTGGGTGCTGGGCAGGGGAGAGGCTTTTTTTCTCCCTTTTGCTGTTGTTAAAAGCTCCTGAGCTTGGCCTGAGCTTGGCCAAGACCCACTGGTGGACAGGAGGAAGGTTCTGGGCTCCCCAGTTCCAGAAGGACAGGGAACTGCTGGAGAGGGTCCAGCAGAGGGCTACAAAGACGATGAGGCACCCAGAGCATCTCTGTGATGGGGAAAGGCTGAGGGACTGGGGTCTTTTTAGTCTGGAGAAGAGAAGGCTGAGGGGGGATCTAATCAATGCTTATAAATATTTAAAGGATGGGTGTCAGGAGGATGGGGCCAGTCTTTTTTCAGTGGTGCCCAGGGACAGGACAAGAGGAAATGGGCACAAACTTGACTAGAAGAAGTTCCATCTAAACATGAGGAGGAACTTCTTCACTTTGAGGGCGGCAGAGCCCTGGCAGAGGCTGCCCAGGGAGGTGGTGGAGTCTCCTTCTCTGGAGACATTCAAACCCCCCTGGACATGTTCCTGTGGAACCTGCTCTGGGTGGCCCTGCTCTGGCAGGGGGTTGGAGGAGATGATCTCCAGAGGTCCCTTCCAACCCAATATGATTCTGTGATTCTAAAGGTTCCTTCTTAGCCTTGTGGAGAGCCCCATGTCTGCATCGAGGCGGAGGGGGGCTCTTCCTCTCTCCTCGGCACAGCAAAGCATCCTTGGGGCTACTGTTTTTCCAGCTGGGTGCTTAGAGGGTGGGTTCTTTCCCCGTCTCCAGCTGATCTTCATGGAGGAGTGCATCGAGGCAGAGGGTCGGCGCTGGCACCTGGAGCACTTCTGCTGCCTGGAGTGCGAGGTGCCCCTGCGCGGCCAGCGCTACGTGATGAAGAGCGGCCGGCCCTGCTGCCGCGGCTGCTTCGAGACCCTCTTTGCTGAGACGTGCCAGGCCTGCGGGGACCCCATCGGTACGGCCCCCCCCCATCATCATCCCCCCTGCTCAAACCCCCCGGGCTGGGCGCAGGCGGGACGTGGGCTGGGAGGGCTGCGGAGCCAGAGCCCCGGGTGGCTCGGGGCGGAGGACGGGTTTTTGGCAGACGGTGGCGAGGACGGGTTCTGGCACAGGGTGACGGGAAGAGCCCTCCCCGTTCACCCTGTGTTGCCCCCCCCCAGGTGCTGACAGCGAGGAGGCCACCCACCAAGGGCTCCATTGGCATGCCCGAGCCGCCTGCTTCTGCTGCAGCCTCTGCCGAAAGCCGCTGCGTGGGCAGCCCCTCACCTCCCGCCGCGGCCGCCTCTTCTGCTCCGAGACCTGCAGCCTGGGCCGGGACGCGTCCTCCACCGCCTCCGACTCCTCCGACTCGGCTTTCGCCTCCGCCCCGTCCCCCGACTCAACGCCCCTCGCCCGAGGTGGCCCCACCGGCAGGACCACACCGGGGACGGGCAGCAGCTCTGCGGCCGGAGGGTGCAGGCAGCGGGTGGAAGGGGCTGGTAGGGATCCTACCTCTCTGCCTGCAGCGTGGTGGGAGGGGAGTGGGAGCAAAACCAGGCTCTGCTCAGCCCCTGGGCACTTGATGGGGTACATCACAGGGATGCAGCCCAAGGAGCCCCCAGCCCACCCCCTGCAGCGCTGGCAGCTGGGGTTTGGTTGGTACCAGCCTCCGTTGCACCCCGGGGAGGACAAGGGGTTGTGGCATTGCAGGCTCAGCCTTTCCCTTCCTCACCCATCCTTGTTTCCCTTCTTCCAGAGGCGTTTCTGGATCAGGCCCCTGTGCATCCAGCGTTCAGGAGCCTGGAGGACCACGGAGCAGGCGCTAAGGAGAGGAGCAGGGATGCTGTGCATGCAGGGACACCGGGACCACCAGCCGGTCACCCCTCCGGCCTCCAGCCCAGCACAGAGGGTCCCAATGGGCCTGGAGCCTTGGGCCATCCAGTTCCGGGGGGCCCTGACCCCCGAACACCCGCAGGCAATGGAAACCCACACTCCCAACACAGCCCACGGCCGGAGGACATCAACCTGCAGGACATCACAGAGGAGGATGACTCCTGGTGTCCCACCTGCTCTTCATCTTCGGACTCGGAGGAAGAGGGTTTCTTCTTCGGGAAGCCCATCCCCAAGCCCGGGATGAGCTCCCTGGGCAGGGAACCCCTGGGGAGGGCTGGGGGCAGGACGGTGAAGCCGCGGGGCAACAGCAAGCACTGCAGTGTGTCCTAGCAGCGGGGACAGGGGGTCCTCCACTGGCACTGCCATCCCACCAGCCCCGGCCACGGTCTTAACACGTTCCAAGTGCATTTTGGACACAGCCCAAGGCTGGTGGGGAGAAACTGCTGGGATCCTTCCCCCCGGCAGTCGCTGGCAAAGCACACCCTGCAATTCCTGCCGGCCTCTCCCGCAATTAGGAACAGGTAAAGCAGGTAGGGAGCAGGGAGCCGGCCACCCGACCAGGGCATGGTCTCCAACTCCCATCTCAGAGAAGGTGGTAGCCCCAGAGAGCAGCCACACGCAGGGGAGGGCAACTGGGTGCTTAGGACAAGGGCAGCTGCCTGCATCACCCCACTGGGGACCCATGGGGACATCGGGGTGCTGGCCACCAGGGTCGGATCCTTCCCTGGGACACCTCCCCGAAGGACAAGCCCTGTTGCCAGCTGCTCTCCATCCCTGGTGGCACCGCGTCCCCCTGCCACCACGGGGAGGGGATGGGAGGGGACCGGGAAGGGGGGGAGGCAGCTCTGCTGCTGCTGCAGACGAAGCTCCAATAAAGCTCAGCTGAGACCTGAACACAGGAGAGCCAACACATCTGCCTTGTTCCTCCCCACCCTGGGGTTGTTGTCACCGGAGGGGTGTGATCCCTGGGGGCAGCTGCTGCCCTCTGCTGTATCTGGGGGTCCCCCAAAGAGGGTCTGGGATGGGGGTCCACCGTGGGACCCCTCCCTGTGCACGTTGGCACCAGGAGAATGTGACCAGAGCGACGGCAGAGCAGGGGCTGCAAAGATCATGACTGCTTTATTTTTTGATTTAAATCCAAGAACAATCTCTGGGGTTTTGGGAGCACATCCATGTGAAGCAGGAATGGAGTGAGGGGCCAGGGCAGGGGGGGGGGGGGGTCCCTGCAGCCGCTCTCCCTCCAGTAAAACCAGCTCCCCCCTTTTGCTGCACATACAGAGCTAGGCAGGGGTAAAGCTAAGCACCCCCTCCTCCTCCATCTCCAAAAGAGGTGGTGGGACTGCACCAACATGTCCATAGCACCTTGATCTGGGGGCTCAGCACCATCATGAGCGCCCCAATGTACCAGCACGGCCCCCCCATCACCCCCCCAAACCCTGGCTGGCAAGAGGGGGTGTCTGTCCACTCACCCCAGAGCCCCCTCAGTGGCTGAGGGTGGCCGAGTCGTAGCTGTTGATGAAGTCCTCCAGCTCCTGGAGGTGGTGGATCCGGCCCTGGCGGAGGTTGGCTCTCAGCGCCAGCCCCAGCGCCGCCTCCATGGAGGGCTCCTTCTGCAGCAGCATCGTGGCCACCACCGCGATGGTCAGGCTGAACTGCTGGTAGGACTGCAGGGGAGCAGCACGGGGTCAGCATGGGGCACCCCAAAAGCTCCCCACCAGCAGTGTGCCACCCTCCAGGGATATTTCTTCCCCCCAGGGCTGGTCCATGAACCCCCCCAGCAGCATCTGTGCCCCTGCAGAGCCCTTCTAGCCCACAAACACCTTCCCCTGCAACCACCAGAACCAGGAGGGGTTTCTCCCCAGTGACCCCATAATTGCCACATTCACATCCCCCATGGTTAAAAGGATCCTTGGGCAAGTCCCCCCACCCCATGGCTGGTCTCAGACCCCCGGACACCTCGACCAAGGGCCGCTGGGACTCACCAGCTCGATCTCCTCCTTCCTGGCGAGGACGGCGGCGGAGCGGAGGTCTGTACCAGCCGGGGAGGATGCCGGGAGCGTGGAGCAGAGCTGGTGCTGGGTGCCCACAGCCTGGGCGGTGGAAAAGGCAAGGAAGGGTCAGATGCTTTGAAGGGGAGAGGGGACTGGGCAAGGCTGGGGCCAAACTGGGGCTGCTGGCACTGACTGCCAGCCAGGAACTGGTCACCTTGTGGGGGGACCCGCTGGGACCTTGGCTCCCCGGGGTGCTAGTTTGCCACCCTTTGCTGCCCCTTGCTCTCCCACCTCCACCACCACCCACCACCTCCTGGCAGCATCACCACCAAGAGCCCTGCGAGCAGCTTCCTCTTCCCCATTAGGCAGTAATTAAGCTGCTCTGCAATGCTCTCGTTTGCTTCGTTAAAGCTCGAGTCCCAGGGTCGTTCACGCTCCAGCACGCTCTCAAGCCTCTAGTTATTTTTTTGGCCTTTCTCCCAGCTGCCTCCCGTTTATCAGCGTCTCCGGCGCAGCCGACACCAGGGCTGACACGGGCTCTGCCTCCAGACAAAGCAGCACTTTAAACCCCAGCCCATAATCCTGCCAACAGGGAGGCCAGAGGGATCCCTCAGCCCAGGGCACCTGCCCTACGTGGGGACAGCTTGGGGCAAGTCAGGGGGACGCAGAGACACCCTCACCTCAGCCTCACTGGACCCAGAAGGGTCCTGGGTGCCTGGTGGGGTCTCTGGTGGGGTGCAGACATCAGAGCTGGGCTGTGCATCGGGCTCCACAGTAGCTTCCAGCAGGACCTGTGAGTTTTTGGATGGCCAAAGGCCACCGAGAAGCTGTGGGAGAGAAAGTGGTTGGAGAAGGAAAGCTGTGGCCACGCAGAAGCCAGGGGAGCCAGCACTGCCAGCACACCCCTGCCTGCAGAAGCCTCAGTGGGGTCTCTCCCTGGGGGGGGACATGCTGAGACTCACCCCATCTTGGACATCTTCTGTCTCGGCTTCTCCGGCACCACTGGGCAGATGCTGCCATCCCTGGGAACCTGGGCAGAGCTCAGCACCCACCTCTCCAGCAGAGCTGGCCACTGTGCAGACCCTCTCAGGCTCTGGAGGGGCTGTCGGAGTGTGGGGACGTGACCCACCACCCGCACCAGCCTTCGGGGCGCTTTGGCTGCAGGGCTCTACCTGTGCAAAGCATTACAAGATGCATTGCAGAGCCCATGGCAAGGGCTGGCTCCCCTCAGGCAAGGGGAAAAAACGGGGTGCAAAGGGGACTGCAAGCTCCCACCTCCCCTGGGCACTCATTTTAGGTAGGAAAAGGAGGTACTCGTACCTCAGGGTGCTCCTCTGTCCCCGCAGAGCTCTCCTCTGGTGAGGCTGGCTCCATTTCTGAAGCAGAGGGACTCTGGCTGTGGCTGCCCATGGGTTTCTGCTCGGTTCCCTGCTCGACCTGGGGACACGTAATGGTGTGAGGCTGGGACATGTGTCTGTCCCGGGGAGAAAAGCTGGGGGACGGGACAGCTGGGGTGCTAAAACCCAAAGGAAACCACAGGGATTTGCAGCCCCAGAGAAGAGACAGGAAAATGTCTGTGCCTGGCCCAGAGACAGCAAGGTGAAGAGCGAAAGGGCTGGATGAGAGACAGAAGGAAGGTGTTACAGCGGCTGAAGAGACCCTGAGCTGGGTGCCTCAGGGGGTGCGAGCGTCCCTGCCTGTCCCCAGGAGAGGGGTGCTCTCCTACCAGTGTCACTCCTGCTGCCTGCTCCGGTTCCGCAGCCTCCCTCACAGCCCCGGGATCAGCGGCTGGTCCGGGGGGCTCCGGGACCTTCCCACTCTCCACCGGTGGGCTCTGGGGGAAAACACGCTGGATTAGGGACAAGGCAGCACTGTGTGGGGCTCAGACCGTGCAAACTTGGGTCACTGCTGGATGCTGGGATCGGGGAGGGGGGAGGTGGGTAAAAACCCACAACCTGATCCATCTGCTCGCTGCTCTGTGAGCCATCTTTGCAGGAAATAAGTGGCTGGGGAGGATCAGGGCGCTGTGGCTCTTCTTTGACCCCCGGGTGTTTGGTCGCAGAGCGGGATTGAGATGACCCAGAGGATGGCCGATCCCCTGGAGAGGGACAAACACAATGGGAGCAGCTCCTCACTCTGCCCAGATGCTGCTGAGCATTGAGGAGACGCTGGCGAGCAGGCGTGGGTCCCCTCGCAGCCCAGTACAGGGTCAGCACAAACCTCTGGAGGACCTGGGATGAGGGAGGTGCCGGCCAAGGGGTGACTTTTGACGGCCACGGTGAAGACATCGGCGTTTCCTACCCAGGTCACGATAGTGCCGGGACGGGAAGCCATCGTGGAAGCCACCTCGATCCCTGTGAGAGCAAAAGTGGCCCCAGGGGGAGGGAATTTAGGCTGGAAGGGGCCTCGGGTGCAAATTCCCCACCCCGAGTAGGGCCAGCTTCAATGCTGCATCACCCCGGCCCTGCCGGCCACCCCACAGCTCCATGGTCCCCCCGTCCTCGGCACGGGCACCCACCCTGGCAGGCTGCCGGGGGGGCAGCGTGGGTGCTCCTCCTCCCCGGGGAATTCAGGCCAGGAGAAGCGGTTGGGGCCGGGCTGGTCCTGTGGGGAAGGGATCGAGATCTCTCTTGTATTGAGGTGCCCAAAACTGGACACAACACTCCAGGTGTAGCCCCCCCAGTGCTGAGTACAGGGGGACAATCACCTCCCTGCTCCTGCTGGTCACACTATTTCTAATCCAAGCCAGGATGCCGTTGGCTTTCTTGGCCACCTGGGCACACGACCAGCTCATATCCAGCTGCTTGTCAATGAGAACCCCCAAGTCCTTTTCCACCAGACAGCTCCAGCCACACGTCCCCAAGCCTGTATTGGTGCATGGGGTTGGTGTGGCCCAAGTGCAGGACCTGGCACTCAGCCTTGCTGAAGCTCATCCCATGAACGTTGGCCCATCCACCCAACCTGTCCAAGCCTCTCTGTAGAGCCTCCCTGTCCTCACGCAGATCAACACTCCAGCTTAACTTGGTGTCATCTGTGAACTTACTGATGATACACCCTATGTCCTTATCAAGATCATCAATGAAGATGTTAAACAGAAATGGTCCCAACACTGAGCCCTGGGGAACACCACTTGATTTCACCCATTCCCTGTCCTGGCCACTGCCACCCCCCCCAGGCCCATCACCCCCTCACCGGGTGCCAGTCCTCTTCGAAGCAGCCCTCGGGTCCTCGGTGGTCTTCTCTGTCATCCCAAGGGGGTGGCGGGGGCCGGTCGTGGGATGCCCATCTCCTGTCCTCCTCATCCCAAGGGAAGTCGACAGAGTCAGGGGCGGGTCCGCAGTACCAGGGACCAGGCTGCAAGGGCAATCACTGCAGGTGAGGATGGTGGCACACCATGGGCAGCCACACAGCTGCCACCCCCACCAAGCCCTGGGGAACACCACTTGATTTCACCCACTCCCTGTCCTCAGTCCCATGGCCACTGCCACCCCCCCCAGGCCCATCACCCCCTCACCGGGTGCCAGTCCTCTTCGAAGCAGCCCTCGGGTCCTCGGTGGTCTTCTCTGTCATCCCAAGGGGGTGGCGGGGGCCGGTCGTGGGATGCCCATCTCCTGTCCTCCTCATCCCAAGGGAAGTCGACAGAGTCAGGGGCGGGTCCGCAGTACCAGGGACCAGGCTGCAAGGGCAATCACTGCAGGTGAGGATGGTGGCACACCATGGGCAGCCACACAGCTGCCACCCCCACCAGCCCATCGTCCCCTCACCGGGTCCCAGTCTTCTTTGAACCGGTCCTCAGGTCCTCGGCCATCTTCTCTGTCATCCCAAGGGGGTGGTGGGGGACGGTCGTGGGGTGCCCATCGTCCCCTCACCGGGTCCCAGTCTTCTTTGAACCGGTCCTCAGGTCCTCGGCCATCTTCTCTGTCATCCCAAGGGGGTGGTGGGGGACAGTCGTGGGGTGCCCATCTCCCGTCCTCCTCATTCCCATGGAAATTGGCAGGGCCATGGAAGCCTCTGGGGGCCCAGGGCCTGGGCTGCAACAGCAAACGGCTGCTGGTGAGGATGGCAACTCACTGGTGTGGTTTGGTTTTCCTGCGGTTCCCCCCTTCCTGCCACAGCCCTCAGCTCCTCCTGCTTCTCCTACTCCCAGGGGAGCCCCCAGTCATCTGTGAACTTACTGATGATATGCCCTATGTCCTTATCAAGACCGTCAATGAAGATGTTAAACAGAAATTTTATCCCGGATTTGGAGGTGAACCTCGATGGTGCCATCTCCCCTCTGCTCGCCCCGGCCCCTGCCCCCTTACCGGGTGCTGTGTGTGCCTTCCTCTCCTGTGCTGGGGCTCCCAGGGTGGCTTGTGGTGGGCGATCCAGGGCCCACGAGGGCGGCGGGGGCGTTGTCCAGCCTGCCAGGGACCGGGCTGCGGAGAGGGCACAGGGAGATTGAAAGCAGGATGAGACCCTCACCTTCGCCCCTGCACCAGCTGGATGCTGAGCAGAGACAGGGAGCCAGGAGCCCATCCACCCTCCTCTCCCAGCCGAGGTCCCAGACCATTCCTAATTCCTCCCCGTCCCGCAGTGATGCTCTCCTGGCTCCTTGGCATCCTGAGCGATGGAGCAGAAAGTTCCTCCACTCCCAACCACACCGGCAGCCCCGACTGCGAGGCAGCAGGAGGGTTACAAACCGACCGACCTACCTCCCTGGGGAAGCCCCTCCTGTAGCCCGACATCTCGCCAAAAGCTTGTCCCGGCCCTGGTTCCAGTGGGGAGAAGGTCCCCGGGAGGTTCGCACCGAGCTGCAGAGGGAGAGGTGTGGGTGAGCACATCCCCCAGGACGTCACTGCCGGCTCGGGGATGGCTGCCAGCCAGGTGTCACCTCCAGAGCCACACACCATCGCCACCAGCAAGGACCCTCAGGGGATGGGTGAGCTCACGGCCCCATGGACCCGCTCCCAACCCAGGAGGGGACACAGGTCCTGGCAATGCCGGGGCTGCTCCTCCAGCACCAGGCACCCCCGTACCCTACCCAAGCAGCTCCCCTTGCCTGCCCAAGCCTCCACTCGCTGGCAGCCACGTTTCAATCGCCCTGTGCAAGCCCCACGGGTCACAGCACCCAGCGGCACCACCCCACTATTGTCCTGTGGGATCCCGGCCAAGCTGCTGTCCCTCCCCAGCGCCGGAGCAGGGACAAACCACCCACCGGGTGCCCCCGGCCATCCCAACCCCAGTGGAAGCACAGCTCCATATTGCTGATGAACACCTGGTGCCCAGACCAGATGTAGGAACCAGGAGAAGATCCAGCGGTTTGTGCTGCCCCCGGCACCAGGGAGGAAGGAGAAGGGATTGAGGTTGATCGACGGGTTTGTCCTCCTCAGCCTCCCCCCAAAAAAGGAATGGTTTTTGGTAAGATTTGCAACCTTGGCCTCCCCAAGCTCAGGATTGAAGTCATATTTTTAAAACTCTACAGCTATTCTGCAGTTTAGTGCATTTATCACTGGCAACCTTAACGCATCTGTGTATGTTTCATAAAATTAAACTGTACTATTCGAGCACCTAATGACCGCTTCTTTGGAAGGCACCAGACCTACAGCAGACAGGCTGTTCGTGCATCCAGAGTCAGGCCCATAGATACAGCAATAATTGGTCATAATAAACACAACAAACCCTGATTATCACCGGCAACCTTAACGCATCTGTATATGTTTCATAAAATTAAACTGTACTATTCGAGCACCTGATGACCACTTCTTTTGAAGGCACCTACGGCAGACAGGCTGTTAGTGCATCAAGTGTCAGGCCCATAGATATGGCAATAATTGGTCATAATAAAGACAACAAACCCCAACGCCAGGCTGTGTCCCTGCCCCTGTGCTGCTCCCATGGGCAGCCTGGCATGGGCACAGTTTGGGGTCTCCATAGTGGCTCAAACCCTGCGGGTGCCAAGGGAATGAATACTTCACCCAGGCTCCCCAGGACAACATTTATGGCTTCCCCACAACTGGGGGGCAGCAGCTGTGGGGGTCAGAGACCAGGGTTTATCCCAAGGGATGCAGTCCCAGCGAGCAGAGGGTGCTCTGACCCAAAAACCAGCTGATCCCAGCCCAGCCAGGGCACTGAGCCACCAGTTAGCACTCGACCCAGGCTGGCAGGAGTTAATGGGAGCACAGGCACCACTCTTTGTCTGGCAGGTCAGCAGGGAGAGTAAAAGAAATTTGTCCCCAGATGGAGGCAGTTACCTGGCAGATCAGTCCCAAGTGGTCCCAGAAAGCAGCTCAGTCGCCCGGAGAGATGAAGAAGCACCCAGGAGTGTCAGGACAGAGAGCCCCTGCACCCCCAGCCCAGCTCCGGGCAGCCCCCCAGCCCCTGGGGCTGCCGGATTTCCCTCACCCCGGCTTTTGCTGAATGCAAACCGATGGTAAGTGATTGCTGATGGCAGCCAGGTGCTAACTTCCCCCCAGGGAGCCCTCCCCAGCTCTTGATTTCCCTTCCTGGAAAGCCAAGCTGCAGCGCCCTCCAGGAATTTTTACTGCTGTTTGTGGATCGTCTCCTCACGCCGATTTCAGCCGCTGAAAATAAACACTCGCTCAAGGGAGGGGGCTGAGAGACCCCTCTCCTTTCCTGGGGTGGGGACTACACAGAGCCCAGGCAGCACCTCTTCTCCAACTGGTGCCTCTGATAAACCAGGGACTGAAAAACGCCTTCGGTTATCTCAGGTCCCCCAGCAAACCCGGGATAAAGCAGAGTTTCATGCAAGACCTGCACCACATCAGCCTCAGGGTGCAGCCCCTGGTCCTGCTCCCTCACACCTCTGCTTCTCCACGCTGCAAGGGGGGGGCCCTGCACCCCCAGAGTACTCGGCATCCCTGCAAAGGGGCACGTTGCACCCCCAGGGCACAGAGCATCCGTGCAAGGGGGTGCCCTCCATCCCCAGAGTACTCAGTGTCCGTGCAAGGGGAGAGCCTGCAGCCCCGGGGCACTCAGCATCCATGCAAAGGGGTACCCTGCACCCCCAGAGCATTCAGCATTCGTGCAACGGGGGGGCCCTGCACCCCAAGGCACTCAGCCTCCGTGCAAGGGGGCACCCAGGACCCCCACGTCACCCAACATCCGTGCAAGCCCACACTCCCAGCGCCTGCCTCCATCCAGCTCCATCACTTGGATCAGCCACACGGTCCCTGGGATGCTCCCAGCTTGTGCCTGGGGATTTGGGGGAGCAGGCCCCCCCCAGAGCCGTGGTACAGCTGCAGGGATGAGGAGGGGAAAAGGAAGAGGAAGAGGAAGGTCCAGAGAGCACGGTGGCCCTGGCAGGACAGGACACAGCAAGAAGGGATGCTGCCATCACACCCACCTTTGCCGACGCCGCTCCCCGGGCACGGTGGGCTCCGGCACCGGGGGGGACACAGGAGGGTCAGTGCCTCGGGGATCGCCGAGAGCTGCTCGGGGCCGAGGTGCTGCTGAAGCTGCCGGTGCCCGCTGGCCTCCAAGTGCCACCGCCGAGCCTGAGCCCCGCTGGCAGCATCGCCAGCTCAGAGGGGTTCCCCCAACCCACTGCCCGCCCGACCCATCGCCTCCTGGTGCGGCCAGGCACCGGGCGCCCCTGCCAGGCGCCTACAGCCTCTCCTCCTCCCCATCTCCCTGCATTCCCACTGGCAAAACAGCACTCCCAGGAGTTGTTCGTCACTCCCAGGGGTTCCTTAGCACCGGCCAGATGTGCTAGTACCAGACGATGTGCCCCGGCCCCAAGATGATGAGGTGCATCACCTTCCAGATGCTTAACGAACATCTGCAGGGTGTCAGGGTCCGGGCAGCAGCAGGAGGTTGGGCTGGGAGCGCTGATAAGAAACTGGTCTGAACTGGTCCGTCCGGCAACACAAACTCCTGCGCCCACACTTCCTCTGTGAAGAGGAGTTCGCGACCTTGCAGGGAGGAGATAAAGGAGACTGAAACCGCTCAAAAGGAAGCAGCCTTCGAGAAATAAGGAGTTAAAAGGTAAGCTGGGCTCCTTCTTTGAATCCCCTATCTCCCAGCAAGGTCGACAACACTGTTTTGCTGCTTCGAGACATCCATCCTTGTTTAAACATCCTTCCAGTAATTCGTTGACATACTTTTGGGCCCCCCCATTTGTCAGAGATAAGATAACATTGTGTTGGTCTCAGGACTACTCCCTACATTCCTGCCTTCCTCTCTTGTCACTGCTCTGAGCAGTTGCAGGCCCCCGTTTGTGGCCAGTCAGGCTACATTTGCTAAATCCTAAATTGTCTGAGAGAACAGGACAAGTTGACAGAAAAGAACACTAAAACCATAAAATAACGTAAAAATGGTAGCCTCAGCAATTTTAGGATGAACCAAGGTCACTCCGACCTTGCCAAGTACACCAGGAAGCTACCCAAATTAGGAAGAGTTCAGAAGTTTAACCCAAGGAAGACTCACAAGACGACCCCCCCACCCTGACGAAGGCACCGGAACTCCCACCAGACGACTCCCCAAAATGGAAGACTCCGCCTATATATGAATATGCATGTGAAGATGATGTAACCTACACTCAAACTTGTATAAAAGAGCTGCACTGATTGCTAACCGGCGGAACTCTTTGTCCAGGGCGGCCTGGAGAGTTCCCCAACACGTTGCTAATAAATCCCTCCTGCTTATGGACTCGAAAACTTAGTCTCTGAGCAGTTTCTATTTCGCCTTTTGGGGCAAATTTGGCATCAAGACCAGGGAGCTCACTGCTGCCAAACTTTGGCAAAGGAGGAGATAAGAGAGAAAGCTTAAAGCCTTGGGGGTGGAGGAAAAATCCTTCAAAGCAGGCAGTGCCGTCGGTGGGGAGGGGGCAGCCCGTGGCCATCGGAGCTGGCTGCTTCTCAACGCTGCTCCCACCGGGCAGATAACACACAGCTTTCCAGCTGGTCGGTTAATTATAGTCTCTGATAGCTATAAATCAATTAACTAACTGGGTGGATCGACCAGCTCTCTGCCACTTGGGAAAGGAAAACAGCAGCAGGGACAAGGCGGCTGCAGGCTGGACGGCCAGTGTCACCGTGTCCCCCTCCAGAGCCACGTGGCTCCGTAACCCTGTGGCTCCTTGTCTGGTGCACGTCTTCTCCCGGAGCCTGGTGACCTGGGTGTCCCCGAAGAGGAGGAGAACAAGCTCTCAGGGAGCAGGGAAATGAGAGTAATGGGAAAGCTACGCTAATTGCTAGAAATTCTGTGCAAGGATAAGCTGCGCTCGTTGTTAAAATCTTTATATAAAGCTCTAATTGTAACTACAGCCCCGTGGCCAGTTCTTATTCCACAAAGGAGCCTCTAAAGAACCTGCCCGTCCCTGTCGGATCAGGTGACACACAGCGCACCCCCAAAAAAGCAAACTGGGACAGATTTGGGGCTCCACAGCGAACACCTCTGCTCGAGCCAGGTTATTTCACCAGGTCTCAGTCCTGTCACCTGCTTTTTCCAGACACAGGAGCTCGGGCGCAGGCTCCAGGTCCCGTCTCGGGGGCACCGATCTGCTCCCAGCTCGCCCAGTCAATGCCCTGTCCCACCAGTAACCAGCCGTCACAGCAACCCCGGCTGCTCTGTCCCGGGTTGTTTGATGTAGAACCACGTGGGCACGATAATACATAATCTGCTGATAAAAGAGCGTGGAAATCGAGACGGGGACAGTCACAATCAGAGTGAGATTAGTACCAGGGGGCTGGGAAAAGGCAATAGCTGCCCAGGGGAGCGCCAGAGCAGGGTGCCCCAGCAGCAGGCAGGTGTGCAGGGCTTAACGGAGCCGGTTCTGCTGTTGGGAAATCACCTCCTGATGGAAACCAGCACCTCCTGGGGGAGGCGGTGATGCCTGGGGTGGCAGAGAGATTATTTTCCCCCAAAAGGCTGAGAGAGGGGCTGCCAGGAGAGGGGGAGCAGGCTAAGGAAAAGTGAGGCCGTGCTGGGGGCTGAGGGCACAGGATCACGGGAGGGAGAGCGGTTTGAGATCTGTGAACCTGAGCGAAGAGCAGGAAGGAGTCGACGGGAGGTCATTGTCCCCCTCTGCTCTGCACTGGGGAGGCCAGAACTGGAATCCTGCATCCAGTGCTGGGCTCCCCAGTTCAAGAGGGACAGGGAACTACTGGAGAGAGTCCAGCGTAGGGCAACAAAGATGATGGAGGGATTGGAGCATCTCCCTGATGAGGAAAGACTGAGAGAGCTGGGGCTCTTGAGCCTGGAGAAGGCTGAGGGGAGACCTTATTAATGCTTATGAGTATCTAAAGGGTGGGTTGAGGGAGGATGGAGCCGGACTCTTTTCAGTGGTTCCCAGGGACAGGACGAGGGGCAACGGGCACAAGCTGGACCATGGGAAGTTCCACTCCAATCTGAGGAAGAACTTGTTTGGGGTGAGGGTGGCAGAGCCCTGGCAGAGGCTGCCCAGGGAGGGTGTGGAGTCCCCTTCTCTGGAGATCTTCAAGCCCCGCCTGGATGCTCCTGAGTGATGTGCTCTGGGCAGCCCTGCTTTGGCAGGGAGTTGGGCTGGATGGTCTCTAGAAGGTCCCTTCCAGCTCTGACATTTCTGTGATTCCGGGGAGAATCTGTGCACAGGAACAGCAGGAGGGTTCAGGCACAGCCCAGGAGGGGCAGAGGAAACGGGAGAGATGTTTTCCTGGGCACGGCCAGGCCTCCGGCCGGTGCCCACCGCCGAGCGCAGGCCTCTGGGGCGCAACGGGGCGGGTTCTGCCCCTCAGGGCCCCGGGGTTCGCCTGGAAAAGCGGGAGTGGGACGGGAGGAGGGGCCCGGGCCGCGCCTCGGCCATTCCCTCACTCCCCACACATTCCCCCCGTCTCCCACCCTCTCCCGTCTCCCCAGGCCCCGCCGCCATCCCCGGGATCCCGCTCAGCGCCCCCCCGCCGGGCGCCCTGCACGAGGCGGCGTCGCGCCGGAAGTGACGCCATCGCGCGGCGGCGGCGCGGGAGGAGGAAGCGGCATGGCGGCGGCGG